AAAAGAGGGATATGGTCCGGACTCGTGGCACAGGAAAGGGGATGTAGTCGTGGCGGAGGAAGAGGGGAGAGGACGTTTTCTCGTGGTTGGTGATGGAAGGGCATTGAGGGTTGTTATCATGACAGGGGGGAAGGAGGATAGGTTTTCTCGTTGCGGGGGAACGGGATGGGTATTGCTATGGCAGGGGGTGTTGTCGTGGTGAGTGAAGGAAAGGGATGCTGTGGTGGTAGGAGGAGGTGGATGAGAAGGAGGAGGAGGAGGAAGAGGGGAACGCGGGGAGGTAGGGGGAGGTGTGTGTGTCGGGGATTTAAATTTTTGTTGGATTTTTTTCTGTATCTATCGCGTGGGTCTATTGCTTAGTAGGCGAGCTGGCATCGCTGCGCTGTTAGTTAGTGATTCGAATGCGAACAGCGGCGTAATGTGATGCAGTCGGCGATTCTAGTCATGTCCGCATCCAGTGAATCATTCTGTGACATGTGTGTATTCATGTTACATGTGTGTATTCATGTTACATTTGTGTCTTCATGTGGCATATGTCTTTATGTTACATGTATGTCTTTATGTTACATGTATGTCTTTATGTTACATGTGTGTCTTTATGTTACATGTGTGTCTTTATGTGATATGCGCATGAAATGCACATTTTTTACTCGATCAATAATAGATGAATCGGTTACGAAAACCTCTAAAAAATTCTCTAAGTCTTACACATTGGTTGTTATATCCGCAATAAATCGTCCAATTGGGATAAAAATACATATTGATTAAAACACTTAATTACATTAACTTATCTTAAGTAATGTTACATATGTATGCACGCACGCACGTCCACACATTTCTTATGTTCTGTATGACTATGATATTAGCAGGAGTAAGATAATATAGGATATATAATCCTATATTATCTTACTCCTGATATTAGATGTCGTTTCCATAGCAAGCTGTTTCCGATATCATACTATAATAATTACGCGAATTGGAAGACTCTAATTCATGTCTCTAAAATCATATCTCTAATTCATGATACGATTGATACTATTACTTACTGATGAAAGACGACAAAACATGCTCATAATCATATTTAGTTTGTCGCGCTGTAAAATCCTGCTTTATGAATACTTAGCCAGCTTCAGTCTGCGTGGCTTATTCAGGTCGATATGCAGCTCGAACGTGGCAAGTGTGTACGGAAAATGGAAAAATTCAGAAAATGCGCTGAGTTGCTCGCGCACGCGATTTAATGAAACCCACGTGAGAAGTCATTAAAACTGGAACACGCGTCATTTTAGCGGCAAGTGTACGAGTTTTTACAATCAGTCTAAAAAACTTTAAATGGCCGTCGCACGCGGAATCAGGGTTTAAGGCGGACACGTAGCAGATGTCGCGGCTAGTGGGAAGCGAGCGCTTTCTACCAGCACGATGCCCCCACTGGCTACGTAATGGGTTGTAAGCTGTTGCATGTTTTATCTACCTACCTACCTACCTACCCCCCCCCCCGAGTCCCCGTGGACGGGCCTGAGAGAGTGGTGGCGGAGGCGCTCACATCTGCACCGCAGCTGCTGCTGGTGGTGGTGATGGTGGTGGTGGCGGCACGCCACGAGCTCGTCGGTGGCATTGTGAGAAGCTGCAGCGAGATGCTGTGAAAAGCGCGACTAATTCGTTTTAGTTCGTTGAAGTTTTCGCCGCGGCTTTACCTTGATGGTCTGTTGTTGTAGGCGGCACGACCCCAGCTGGCAGTCACGTGTAGGTGTACGGGCGGGTGCGTGCGTGTATTCGTGCGTGCGTGCGTACGTGCATGTGTGCTGGACAACTGGCTCGTTATGAGCTTGCCTCAAACTAAGTCCCTTCTCTGGTGCCCACGATCTCTCCCTCTCTCTCCCCCCTCTTTTGCTCTCTCTCTCTCTCTCGCTCTCTCTCTCTCTCTCTCTCTCTCTCTCTCTCTCTTTCTGTTTCTCTGTTTCTCTGTCTGTCTCTCTCTCTCTCTCGCCCGCTCTCTCTCTTTCTGTCTTTCTCTCCTCTTTCTCTCTCCTCCCTGTCTAACAACCGGGGGCCGGACAGGGATTTTTATACTGGCTGTATTCCCTCTTATACGACCGTTTATTTACTGTAAACAGCGCGCGTGGTTTATGAACATACGGCCGACACGTCAGCTGCCGTCAGAGCTGTAGCTGACGGAGCCGTACTACTCTGCTTTATAGTGTTGTTCTCACGTAGTAGTAGGAGCGGGTGACGTTGTCTCTGCCCGGGCGGTGGGCGGAGTGGTTTATGCGGGGAATCCGCTTCGCCGCCTAAATTCACTTAAAAAGTTTTGTCGAGGATGCCCGGAGAATTGTAATATCGGCGCTCTGCAGTGCTTTACCGCTGCTGCTGCTGCTGCTGCTGCTGCTGCTGCTGCTGACGATGACGATGATGATGATGATGATGATGGTGATGATGCCGCCGCCGCCGTCGTTGCTACTGCGCGCGCTCTCTCTCTCTCTCTCTCTCTCTCTCTCTCGCGCGCGCGCGCTTTCACGTACGCCGCTTGGGTTCCTCGTCGCTTGTGTTCTGCCCTTTGTGGCTACGTCATGTCAAACATCATTAGGAGTTCTGACAAAACCCCCTTTTGACGGGTTTAATTGATGAAATTGAATTTCAAAGTTTGCAGCGCGCAGACCGCTCGATTACGGATGCATATGAGTCCCCCCCTATTCACTACATTAGACACAGCATATGCCGCTTGCAAGTGTTTTTTCATCCACTGGGTTTTTGTCGGGAGCAAGATGAAAGGAAAGTGCCGCCGCTGACGCCGCCGCCGCGAGCTGCCGTGCCATACGCATTAAAAATATTTTTGGTTGATGAATTCCGCTCGCGTGGGGGAGGCAGGGAAGCGTGCGGGGGAGACGGGGAGGGGAGGGATGGGTGGTGGTGGGTTGTAAATCAGTGGTGGTCGGTTTTCGGTATTTCTTTGGTCCGGACGCCCTGGAAGTTGCTGCTGTTGCTGTTGCTGTTGTTGCTGCTGTTGTTGCTGTTGTTGCTGTTGTTGCTGCAGCTGTAGTTGTTGCTGCTACTGCTACTACTGCTACTACAACTGCTGCTGCTCCTGCTACTGCTGTTGTTGTTGCTGCTGCTGCTGCTGCTGCCGCTGCGTGCACACCCCCATCCTGGGTTCTAGCCGCGGACCGACTGCAGCAAAGCACTTTGTTAGCAAGTCTTTGTTAGCTCGCTCGTCACCACGCGCGCGCATCGGGAGTGGGGAGAGAAGGAAGAGGAGGAGGAGGGGGAGGAGGAGGAGGAGGAGGAGGAGGAAGCCTCGGGATAATATGAAATTAACGCCCCCCCCCCACCTCAGTCTCGAGCGTTAAAATCGCCTCTGTTTACACACGTGACTCACAGATGCGTAGCAGTGTTTATATTGTTAGTAAACGACACAGCCAAACAAAGATCAGCCCAGCGGGATGGAGTTGGTCGCAGGCGTATGGCCAGTGCAGCTAGGGTGGAGTGAGGGGTGAGGGGTGAGGGAGGGGGTTCTCTACACCCCGGGGGCATGGGTGATGATTACGTGCTGAGTGGGTGCGATCAAAACGATTCGGCATTCATCGTGGGAAGGGGGGGGGGCTGGCGCGGCTATTGAAAGCTGGAGCTGGAAAAGTGAGAACTGTTGTGAATTTCGCTCTCTCTCTCTCTCTCTCTCTCTCTGGGCGTGCGTGTGCGTGTGCGTGTGCGTGTGCGTGTGCGTGCGCGTGCGCGTGCGTGTGCGCGCGTGCGTGCGTGCGTGCGTGTGCGTGTGCGCGCGTGTGCGTGTGCGTGTGCGTGTGCGTGCGCGTGCGCGTGCGCGCGCGTGCGTGTGTGTGTCTGTCTCTTTCTTCTCTCCCTCTCTCTCCCCGTCTCTCTTGGTCGCGACGTTCTTTTGCTTTGTCGGCTTTTATGTCCATTTACTAGAATGTTAGAGCGGGGCAGCCAGCCGAGGGTTGCATTGTTGTGCTCGCGAAAACCGCTGGGTTCGAGCTTTTTTCTGTCGTGCAGCAGCAGCATTATCGGCGTCAGTCATAGTAGTGTAGTAAAATCAATGGAAATAGCAATAGCAGCAGTAGCAGCAGTGGCAAAACCAGTACATAGTAGTAGCAGCAAATTCACTAATACCACCAGCAGTATCAGTAATATCTAAAGTATATCACTAATGTGTTATATTTATTTTTGATACAATAGCAGCAGCAGCAACAGCTGCAGTAGCAGCAGCAGCAGCAGCAACAGCAGCAGTAGCAGCAGCAACAGTAGCAGTAGCAGCAGCAGCAGCAGCAGCAGCAGCAGCAGCAGCAGCAGCAGCAGCAGCAGTAGCAGCAGTAGCAGCAGCAGCAGTAGTAGCAGTAGCGGCAGTAGTAGCAGCAGTAGCAGGAGTAGCAGTAGCAGCAGCAGCAGCAT